CGGGTGTCCATATCTCGAGGAGCTGCCTTCGTTGGTCACCGCATGCGGTAACCCTCAATAATTCGAGAATGAACGACGAATCAAATGAGCTCGCCGAGCTGTCTCGTCTTCGTTTCTATTGACAATAATATGTCGCATCATTCCGTATAATCAATCCGAGGAACGTGGACCGCAAAGACGGAATGACTAAGGACCCTCCGCTGACTGGGACCTCGATCGACTCTCCGGGGCCCGATCTCCGAAGAGTCAAGCCGTGATATTAAGTCCGCTCAGAGCCTCGTTCCAACCGCGGATGACGATCGCGTGCTCGTGACTCGTGAGCTCGGCTGGACAGCGATTTGTCTCGACGACGAGTGCCCTGCCGGGCACTGATGCAACGTTATCGGTGCTGAGGAAGCACACGGAGCGGCGCCAATAAAATTGATCGGGTCCGACTGATATTAATTCAGGACTAATTGTTCGGTGTATTCCGTTCGGATTCCTGGTCATCGGTCGTTCGCAGCTCCGGCCGTTCGCTCGCTCGTCCGTGTTGTTCTCACACTTCATGTATTTGTTCATCGGTTTCCTCGTTGTTCGTCGAGCGAGCTTGGAGTCAGTCTGCTGCAGGTAATCGTTCCGCTCGCGAAGCAGCCGAACGAGCCCGAAAGTTTTGTCGGTGACGGTTGCCTGTTCCGTCTGTTTTCGATTTTGTGTTATTTGCCTTAGAAACAAGAGGTAATTGGCACCTGTCGCTGATCGAGTCTTATGGCAGATCGTTGATGGCCGATACAAACAATTATTCAAAAAAAGAGACGTTCCAGGCCCATGCACCGGCGCTAATGGCCTGTCGATTATCGCTTCAATGCCTATCCCGAAATCCTCGATTCATGCCTTCGCCGGTCAAAGTGACAGCTCCGGCTCAGACACCGTGATGAGATCATAGTGCGACTATTCTAAATCGCCGTGATTCCCCGAGACTTTTATGGAGAAATATTTTTGCTCCCGAGGTACCCAGCTCCTCCGAGGGATCCGTCGACGACCGTTGCGATCTTGACCGTGCGCTTGGGTCGCGTAGACATCAGGGCCGAGCATCGCGTCTTGCAGAAGATCTCCAGCTGTCGGAATCTTCTTCGTCACGAGATCGTCTGCCTCACAGCTAATGTACCGACGCTACAGTTTTTGTCGCCGACCACCGCTGGCTGACAATGTCCTGTGGACTGGAGCAGCTCCCGAGAAGTCGTGCGATCCGATCTTCCACTCGATCCGCTTCGTGAGTTCCTGTCTTCGTGTATGCTCGCGTGTGGGTCGGATTCGAAAAAAATCCTCGTTTCTTATCAATAGTTTCTCGAATGTCCTTCTCCCGCTGGATGGATCGAAACTCGAATCTCCGTCACCGGCCATCGGGAGGATAGGAGCAGTGTTTTTGAAGAGACATCCGCCAGAATCTGCAAGGACGCTGCTTCTGATTTCTATGGCAGAGAAGCGCCACGACTATCCAACTCACATTTTAGCGATGTGCGATTCTTCCAGATTCCACTTCTTCCCTTGGGTCCGTGAACGCGGTGCTCATTATTACGGGCCAATGAGGAGAAAAGTCTCCGGGCTTATGTGGTCTCATCCGCAGAGCCGGGATAATTTATACAACTACCTTTATAGAGACAGGCTTGGAAGAGGGGGCTGGAGACCTCTCGAGGATTCGCTCGTGATTTAGTCGGCGCGTGGCAAAAGCGAGGCGAGCCTCCGGCGCCGAGCATGACGAGGAAAGTGAGAATCCCCGTCATCAGAATGCTTTAGAGTCACCGTAGGCTATTATTAAAATAAACTAATATATAATAATTATGGGACAATTGGGCATCTCTCTCGACATGTCGCAAGAGATGTTCGTCTTCTTTTCTTCAGTCGTCATGCCCGGGATGTGTTTTTGCAGCTCTTCCCCCCCTCAGGAGTCCTCCGATACAGAGAGCAGATGGAGTCGCGGCGATCGTTCCTTCTTCTGTGTATCTGTTGCTTCGTTCCGTCTTTTCCTCGAATTTGCTCGCTTCGAAATTTTTTGAGATGTCGGTCACAATTTTTCTCAGCGCCACCGCTCATGTTTTCCCTGTTGCTCCCGAAACGATTGCTCTGTGATGACTAGGATTGTACCGCCGCGTGGTTATCGTGCGATGCCGATGATTTCTATAAAAGGCCGACGGTGACCACGGGGGGGCTCGAAAAGAGTGCTCCGCACCGCTGTCTGCGCTGTTGGATTATGAAGAATCGACGGAACCGTCTCGGTCCGCGGAACGCACGAGATGCAGAAATTGTCAAGCGCTGAACAACATGACGCAGCGCCGAAGTCCACTCCGTTTCACTCTCAGACCGCGATGAGCTCCGCCGGTCCGAACAAGCAAGAGTCATGCTTCATAAATGGGCCGCCAGCCGCCATTATCATTCCTCGAGCGGATGACAAGCGTTTATACATCTTCTAATCGGGAACGATGGTCGCGTATTTAAATCGATGTAATCGATCGATTTCTCGCTTGCTCGTCTCTCTTGCTCGCGCTCGTCCTCGATGACATTTGAGCTTTGGCACCGAGTTTCGGATAACTTCATCGGAGGAATTCGATCACCACTATTCAGCGCCGATCGTGTGAAGCTTGACTCGACGGAGAATGACACCATAATGACGGAGATGCGAAAACACGCGAAGTATGTCTCCGGCAGGGATAAGATCTGAGCTTCCAGAACGGTTTTTGGAATGACCGAGACAAAGGTCTAATTTGCGCGAGAAGCCATAGGACATTGGAGACGGTCTTCGTTTGACCGTTCGACGCCCCGGAGAGCCCCTTCGGGAATCGTCGATTGTCCTATGGTCGGAGATTCGCGGCTCGGGATTTCTTTATGAGAGGATGCATGATCGGTTTATGACCGCCCGAGAACCTGCGGTCTTGAGATATATTTCATTTGGGCCGGTCGGTCTAGAAAGACTGCAGCAACGACCTGAGTTTCCAGAATGAAATGCTCTTCCCTTCACTGACCCCAGTTAATTGCGTGTCGAGTTGAAGAACAGACGATCAAGACGACGACGTCGGGAACGACTTGGGGACGGATGCTTTTCTGAATTCTTTCTGTGTCCAGAGCGACTTCAGTATGCAAACAATGTCGAAACGAGCGGGCTAATTCTCCCCTGTGTTTCGGCGCATTCGAGATTTCAATGCGAAAGGAAATCCTCAAGTACCGTCTCGCGTCCCAGAGTGAAGAGAAGAGAAGGGCGAAGAACTCAACAAATTGTCAACCGGTACTTCCCTGAATCACAGCAACCATAATCAGCCAGGATCCCTGGGGAGCTCTCAGCTTGGTTTTCAGGAGACCTTCCAATGTTTCTCATTTTTCTGCCTTCTTTGGTGTGATTGATCACGAAATGACAAACATTCTGTTCTACCGGCGTGGACACGAGCGCAGACGACGGCTTGACAACACCGGTGTTTACTTTTCGCGAAGTCTCACCATCCTGATTATGTCGTCGTGAGCATGAGGTCTTCATTCTCCATCACGATCAATTCTCCGGCTTTTCCACACCCTGTCCCGAGCATCGGATTTCTCGTTCAGGCAGATGACTTGGGAATCTCGGGATCTACACGATGAAGCTGCCTGAGGGAAAAGGAAGGGATCTCTGATCATGACCGCGAGGTTCTCGCGGTCATGATCAGAGAGCTCCGTGAAGCCACCGTACCTTGTTGTATGGGCAATCTGAGCTCGTGTTCACTTCTGAAGTCGTTCTCTAATCCCTCCCACATTTTTCTTGATGATATGCGCCTCGAAATGTTAACGCTTTGTCATTCCGAAAAGTATTAATCGGTTTTTCGGCGTGCGAAAGGACGGGAATCGATGAATTTCATGTTATTATGGCCTGAAGCAGCCATTGCAGAAGACCTCACACGTTGACACTGTTTATTGGTTGCCCACGATGAAATCAAGCCCATCGGCGAAGTCCATGACTACGAGAGAAAATCGGAGGAGAAGACAAAACCGAAGCGAGTCGGAGGTACCGGTGAAAGACCTACCACTATGCAGGCTACATCGGCTGGGCGGCCGCTTGACCGGGCGAAGAGCCGGCGAGAAGGCGACCCTCCGACTGGGATGAGATGGGTAATTGTGCACGACTTTAGCGAAGGGGTTCAGGCATTCAGTGGATCAGTCACTGGGACAGGCAGAAACAGCAGTCTGCGATACTGAATTCGATCGAGATAATTGTTCGTGTTTCAATCGTCAGGGTCCGGCCGTTCGGTCCATTGGCGTCGTCGCCACCGACGGTGATGGCAAACCCATCAATAGCGGGATGCGGCGGCCTGTGGCCTGGGCAGAAACAAAATAATAATACTAATAATACCAATGATCGTCACGAGAGCATACGACGGTCGAGGCTCTGATGATCACTCGTTTGACACGTGGCTCTCGGTTCGTTGGATGTCATCCCATCGGCGTTCTGTCCCGCTCACGACGCTCAATAAAACTTCTACATAGTGTCTGGTCCACCAGGCCGTCGCTGCGGCAAGGCACAGCGTCGTGAGCTGGAATAATTATGATTACGTCCTTAATATGATACACATGATTTTCATTCGATTATATATCAATCACAGTCGCCGCGCTCCCCCCACCCAGCGATCCGGTGCGAACTTTCAAATGCCTCGAAGTCGTTCTCCGGCAGCATGAGGTCGTGCAGACGTCTCCAATCTCGAGATTCCGGGAAGGGATTTCTTTGGTGACGCTGGTCGAAATACTTCGAGGTCGATCTCGGATTCAGAGGGCCAGCGGGTTTTCTGCGAGATGTCGCTCCCGTGGATGAGCGCTGTACGCATTTGCCGACGCATTCCGTCGGAGAGGTCTCGATTTTTTCCCAACCCGCACTCGGGGGAGCCCTACTGGTTTCGTGACTCGAAGCGAACGATGCTCGTTTCCCACCGAGAATTACAAATGCTTTTCTTTAACATTGCAGTGCCTACAACACCCGCCGTCTTCCCTGAGACTGTCTCCTGTCCGCAATGGGGTTTCTTCCTTCGGGCCTGAAGCACGCCCTACCACTACTCTGCGTGTGCCTTTTCTCGGCCTGCAACATAGGCGGAGGCCAATTCCTCATGGGAACGTTCACGCATCCCGAGAGCTACACCCCCCATAGACGGATCCCTCTTTTCCCCGGTCAATTCACATCTGTTTCTTCTAAAATCTACCGCTCCCTTCACAGTGGAGTTGGTTGGAGAGCGCCCGGCCAATATCCACCCGCAACCGTTCTCAGCCATCGTATGGGGCCTTTCGACGAGTTAAGGAACGCGAAAAAGGGTAAGTTCCGCGTTCCGAAGGAATCTCGCACGGTCCATCAGAATTTCGGAAGTACCCATCCGATCGTCCTCGGGAATCACTTGAGACACGGTCGTGATTGAGCTCGATGCACGAATAGCGGAACATATCAGATTTTCGGTAGTGAGTCTGCGGGATCACTCCGGCACTCGTTCTTCTGCTCTTTCTCCTTCTCGGTCCGCGGAATGGCTGCTGCAGTCGTCGTGTCAGCGTTCCGTCGTGACTCGTGACTAATCGAACAATTATTTCTGTATTCACATTTGTGAGCAATTCAATCGAATCCTGAACTCTATCTATTCTAATTCGATGTTCCGACTCGCCTATCGCTCGGCGAAAGCCGATCGCCGGCGGTCCATTGAAGCCGAGAACAATAGTTCAATCACAGACGTAAACCTGGCAGCGATCTCGCAATCATTCTGCGATTCCGTCCGTAAATATAATCAGGGAGAACGAGTGGAGGTACCGACGACGGCGGTAGCGACGACGCGACGACGGCGGCGGCCGGCGACGGCTGCAGCAAAAAGCGACTGAGAGACCGCGGCGATGACGGAAAAGAGGGAGATCACGGTGAACAAAACAGAAATCCGTGTATCCGGGGTTCGGAAGTGGTCACGACGCGATATTCCTACAATTTATTCACCGTGAACAGTGACGATGGGATCTGAAAGCAAGAAATGAATCTGGGCCAGGAAGCTCGTAACTGTTTCGATAGGATCAGATAATAATTCCCGTAATGGAATGATCTAGCCAACATTCATGCATGCCTGCATGCATGCATGCGAGGGAATTTCCTTCCACGAGCTCGGTCCGCTAATCTTCACCGCACGATGATGAATCTATCGCGATGGATAAACGGTGAATTGATTGATGGGACAGTTTCGGTCAAGTTTCGATCCAGAGCCGATTCGCTTCGCCAATATAATTTGCAGAAAGAAAACGCAGCGACTCAGTACTGTTGGTGCACGACCGGCCCGAACAAATAATGATGCGCATTCAATGAAAGCCGTTCTGTGGTATACACATAATCGACATACGGTGTCATCTATCTTCCACCCTCTTTTACCCCGTTGTCTGGTCAGCCCGCTCGTTTGCCTGCTCGCTCCAGTGGGATTCTCAACGGCTTGTTGAACCGCGAAGACACAGTGGCCGACGGCCTATGCGAGCTTCCATTGTATGTATGTGAGCGTATGTGTGTGCGCGTGTTGTTCTCTGCGGTGCGGCGATGCGTGTGTGCGTAGCAGCATTAATGGGAATGGCATTATTTAAAAGACTATCTATCGATGTCTGCTTCGGTCATTACCTGGGCGAGCGCAGGGTGGAGTCGACGGGCTCCGAGCAAGCCCCTGAAGATCCGCTGAATTTCGATCCGCTGCACTTGCTGCCCGCTTCGAATGCAAATCGAAGTGTTCGAGTTTCGAGTCCTCAAAACGCGACGCCGACGCGGCCGGTCGGCTCTCGTTTGTCCCCCCGATCCCGCCCGAATAACGGCTTCTTCGACCGATCCGCGGTTTTATTTTTCATTCAGAGCTCTGTGCTCGTACTTGTTCATTCCTTGCCCGCGCTTGGCGGGATGATACCCATGGAACGAATCCATCCGTTGATCGATGCCTTCTTACTTCTTCATCAGACTTCATCAGTATTTGCTGTAAGCTGGGGGAAATCCGATCGATCAAGCCTCATTCGTTGAAAACGCTCGGAATACTTCTTATTATCCGCGGCTCGTCGCCGATCGCGTTCGGAGGAGCCCGCGTTTTCGTACATCGACGCGTGCTATTTCGTGTCGCACCCCGAAAAATCAGGCCCGCTGCTCGCTGATTCCCACCTGGAATCGATGCGCGCAGAGCATCGGAGTCCTCCCAGGCTCGAGATTCTGGCCAGTCAAATTGTACGTGGAATACAGTGTCATGATGGTAGGCACTTGGCACTGAGTTTCGATTTTTGCTTTGGACGAAGCGGGAAAGATTGCGCGGATACCGAGTTTATGCCTTGCTCAGGAAGGACGCCCATGACGTCGGATGGAGGCGAGGGCTCGATTGGAGACTGCTCATATGACAATGTCTGTTGTTGGGGCATTTCCAAGCTTTTCTTTTTTTGGAAAATCACCCCCGAGCAAATGCCGCTGTGACAATAGAGTCGAATCATATCCGCGAGCAAAGGCGCGCCAGAAAGAGAACATCGACTCAAGCGAGCGAGAAAGTTGTGATTGTCACGTTTCTGCAGCGTGACTCATTTTCCGCTCAGTAGCCGTGGCTTTACCGATCGTTTTCATTCCCGTGAGGAAGACGCGCCTGCAAGTAGAAGTGACCCGGATTTTTTGCCATTATCAAAGGTTGGAAGCCATAAATTCGCGATGCGTTCCGACGGCGGTAGAGAGAAAAAAAAACACCGCGTCATTGTTGTGAGACATAAATACTGGCTCTTCATAGAGGTGAGCAACGGTGATTGTTTGCGTGATTTCCTCATGTGGTCTTAGCGACCGATCGATTAGCCAGCCGTTCGACTAGACGACGGCGAACATAAATCTTCTTTCCAAAAGCCATAGAGCCTCACTCCGACATAAATTCTGGACACTTGAAAGTCTGAATCCAAGGAAGGAATCGTGAAACTTTCGGTTTGATGCCCCGTGAACGGCACTCACGTACAAGAGGTCGGACGGACTCGCGAACTAATCGGAACAAAATAATACCCGATAAGTCACTTATTTTGGAACGAAGAATGAAGAATGTTTCTTCTCTGCTGAAAACATCTTCAGTGATGATCACATCAATCATGATATCATCGCTATCACGCCCACTCGCCGAAAGAGCGCGCGCGCGGCCGCCAACCCTCCGAACGAATGGGTTAGAGCCTTTCGACCCTTCCTCTCGTTTCCCGGTCGTCTCGGGACCGGTACGCTTCCGTTCCGTCTGTGGGTCATCGGGAACCCGCAAGGGATCGATGCTGGACGAAAGGGAAGCGCCTCCTCATCGACGCATTCTTCTTCCAGTCAGTACCGTGTGCGACCTCGATGAGTTCTGCGTATTGTTTTTTTTTATGTGATTCAGTCCTAACAGAATGAGACGTGGTATCGGTATCGAAAGCATTGGACGGATCCGATCGCTCGTCCAGTAAGCACTTAATTGCCCTCATAATTCACTCTTCGGCCGGTAGGTCGGTCGGTCGGTCGACCAATGAATCGACGCCACGGATGCAGAAGCTGAAACTGTAGGCTCTATGAACGTGATGTACCTGCTTGGATTGCGGTCGTTGTCGTTTGAAAGTTTCAATTGAAAACTTCTGAAGGCTCGCCGCGCCAACGAGAAGCCGGGGAGTCCGGTCGATGTTTCGCTCGTTCACTTTTGAAGATTGTTCCATCCGAAGAATTATGGGATTACGATTAAGAACTTCTGTTACTTCCAGTCGGACGATGTGTGAAGAGATCACTCGCAATGTGCGAAGACGTTCTGCCATACAAGGACACCATGTTCCCGAACCTCGTTGGAGACCAGGATGTGGCCGCCATGAACAGATCTCTGCTGTTCTTCCAGTATCTCCTGAAGGTGAACCCGGGTTATCTTTACCCAGGACATTGACAAATAGACTCCTGTAATTGTTGGAGCAGAAACTCAGAATGCTAGTCGCCTCGTCAACGATAATATTCACGCGATCTTCTTGTAGGATAATTGCAATCCCCGCATGAAGCAACTGGTGTGCGCCCTCCTGGAACCCCCATGCCAAAATGGGAAGGTCATGCTTCCTTGCCGAAAGTTCTGCAAAGGTATGTTCCATTCGCTCGACGCTCTGCTTGCGATTCTCCATGAATGCTGCCATGAGTAGATTACTTACGTATATATCGACGGCTTTGAAACGGATTCATTGAGCTTGAATTGAGAAATCGATTGCTCGGTCCGGTAGCAAGTTGTAGATTTGCTGTCAGTTCGGTTTGATGTGCGTCAATCGAACGGATGACTCGATAATAGAAGAGGAGGGGAGCCGCTTTTGAAATAATGGTTCCTTCCGAGCCAATGAGCACTCGGAATCGCATATCGCTTTCTCTCCGTCCTCTCTTCCGATATCGGACGGAGGGGAGCCAAACAGTCGACTCCTGAAAGAATATTCGACTTGACAATCGGCGCGCTCCATGATTGCCTTCGCGACCGCATTCACCCTCGATTCTCCACGATATTTTCCCTGTCAACGGAACCGGAGGCTCAGACAAGCGTTCCGATTATGGTTATATGTAATTCGAGATGACGAAAGTCCCGCGCGCGTCGGAACCATTCCATGATGCGCATCAATTTATCGGATAATTCTCGTCGAATAAGTAAATGTCCCACATTTAATCATCGAATGACGCTGCGAGTCGCTAGGCAGATTAAACTGGGAAATTACGAAAATATGTGGAGTGTGATGAATTAGTTGAAAGTATCGTGAGCAGAACAGTCATCATCTGCAAAAGCAGCTGTCGAAGAGATCTCCGGTTCCAACAGTTGCTAACGACCCGTTTTTTGTGCTGGGGAATTCAAGTACAGCTGGAGCATAATAAGGCCGAACATCCTGCGTGGTAAAATATGCGGAGCGTCAGTCAAACCGAATCCAAAAAGGAGCTAATGAGCCAAATTATAACGAATAATCTAGCTGGACCACATCGGAGAGAGAAAGATGTGAACCGGAATTTCAACTCGCCAGGGCAGTATTCTCGGTTCGGTTACGGCGAGCGGGAGCTATGCGGAACTCGCACGCAACGGTGCGAAAAAAAACGTTCGCTACCGAAAACTGGATTTATGCAACAGGAGAGACTTCTATCACAATCAGAAGTTTTATCTCAGAGCTCTGTCTCGGGCAATCGATTATCGTCAATATTCTGGATGCGCGCAAAGGGAATAGCTATCATTACTGCGCTCGGAGCATTCTGTCTTCCTCTTTCAACGCGGACTATTCCAGTGCGCTATGTTCTTGATTTCCAGTTACGATAACATGAAAAAACCATTGTAGGTACGCTTTGACGATGCATACTTCTTTCGCAATGTAGTGACGACGACCCTTTAATTAGTCGGGCTGCTTCGATGCCTCGCATCCTGAAGAAGATTTTCGCTCCCAAATTATACCCTCACTAGAAGTTGGCAGCTATAATTGAGCAATAACTCGCTGTGGGCCGGCGGTAGATGCGCGACTCAAGTCTACCCATCGCTTCGAATCGGAGTCTCATTCGGTGTTTGATTTCTCAGTTGCGACCGAAGGATGTCAGAAATTCATCCCAGCGCGTCTATCGATGTCCAAGGTTTTCGATTGCACCAGATATCCCGACTCCGAAGACTCCACGGCTTGTCTGAACTTGGCGAAGAACCCCAGTGAGTGCTTAGAGATCGGATAGCCTCCCGAGAATTACATTTTTACGAATCATTCGCAAACCCTACCCGATGTGTAAAATAATACAATGCTTCCCGAAACTTGCAGCCTGTCTTCAGAACGAGTTCCAATGTCCGGATCAAGCGTGTATCCCGAAAGCCTGGCGTTGCGATGGAGTCCGAGATTGTGCGTTCGCCGCCGATGAAGCGAATTGCACATGTGAGTCACCCAATTTTTTTTTTACAACAGTCTCAGTCTGATCCCTTGCTCGAGAATTTCATTTAGGCATCGATCCCGAATATAGAGATCATTCTGAACTCCACAGCTTGCAACGAGGAGGAGTTCCAGTGTGATTTCCGGTGCATTCCCAAGACCTGGCGTTGTGACGGCGAAAAAGATTGCATGGACGGCGCCGACGAGCGCGGATGTCGGCCGAGAAGAGGTAATTCCTCCAGCTATGTCGACAGTGAATATTATTCTATGCTCTCACGAGCATTCCTCTTGTCATGCGATCCCTTATGTGTCAAGCCGACCTAGAGTATTCTAACGCGAATTCCCGTTCCAGAGTGCGGTCCGGATCGATTCCAGTGTCTCGATGGCTCCGGCTGCTTTCCGAAGCGCTGGGTCTGCGATGGGAAAGCAGAATGCCGCGACAGATCCGACGAGCTCGACTGCGACAAGCGCACCGGTGAGGAAATATTCCGCTGCTACATTCCACCTGGCTTTCTTGATTCCATTCATTCCTTCTGCCAGTCTCCTCTAGCCGGACAGAGCCTCATTTGTCAGCCTGAGAAGGAAGATGAAAGATGATATTCATCTCTACGACGATTTGATATGGGGAATTCCTCTACTCTTCCAGAGTGCACCTCGGGAGATTTCCGATGCTCTAACGGGATCTGCATACCGCAAGTTTGGCGTTGCGATGGTCAGAACGATTGCAAGGACGCCTCAGACGAACACCATTGTCAACCGGGACGGAAACTCGTCAACCTCATCTCATCAAACCACATCCACCGCAAAAAGTAGTGCGAAATCGCGTGATCCAGGTAGCCCGATTGTAATCAGAGATGAGAATCGATTTCTATTCGACGTCGTCAAATTTAGGAAAGGGCTATCGGATGTTTGGCCGTTCACGGGCTCTTCCAGCCTAAGGTTCAAATTTCAAGACAACAGAGCAGCTTAATGTATTCCGCGAGCTTCTCACGGCTCGTACCGGTGGATGGAGGGTTCCTAACACTCAACGCTGAGATAACGTTCGTCGTCTTCTCAAGCGAGCTCGGAGAACGCTACGGGAGCCCGGAGCGGGCCTGAAAACTTCAGCTATTTTCTACCTTACGAATTATTCCTAGAACCAGTCGGTCAGCCGGCCGAATATCTTTCGGATTCCCAGGTCCACTCCGGACGGAATCCCCGGTAGAATGAAAATTTCTCCTCAATCTTTCCGTTCCGGGCTCTCAAGAAAGTTCCGTTGAGCTCCCACTTTCCTCAAACGCAACTCATCTGCTTGATCAGGGCTGTTTCCCTCTATTTTCCTCTCTCACCTTAATTTATTGGAGTATATTGGTAGTAATCCGATTGATAAGTGTTTGTGCCACAGATATATATAAATATGCCGGAGTACATGCTCATTTATTTATTCGCTCGGTGGGAGCGCTGTGTTGATGGTTCCATCTGAAGATGCTCTTCGGCGGAGGTCGAGCTCTGTGATGAACGATTCGAAGATATCGGTTTCCCGCAAGCACGCGAGAGAAATTCCAATCTACCGGCCGGAAACGCGGCTCTCCCGTCGAGTCTGCCTCAAAATATAGTGGAACTATTTATTCTGCTTAATATCCTAAACTCTGCGATCGGGCGCTGAAGGCTCTGATCTGGGATCTCGGGTTGGTTTGCTTCCTCATAAATACTCAAAGTCTCTAAACTCAGGGTTTTGCTCAAACTATTCCTGAATCAAGAAGTGTTGTCACTACTTTCTCAAGTCAGGTCGAGTCGAGTGATGTTCATCGAGTGGCATCGTCATTTTTGTGATCTTGAAGCTTTTTCTCTCTTAGGTTCTAGCTGGATATGTTGTGATTCTGTGATCTGATTGTCAATAAATGATTCGAGAACAAATCTTCCCTCTCGCAATATTTTCCTAACAGTTTTTTTTCCTAACAATTCCGAGCTAACAGTCTTAACTAGATCCTGTAAGGAGTTTTCCATCGAACGTGCCACTGATCGAAAATTAGTTTCTCCCCGACTAGCCGTTTTCTTCTCGGATTTTTGCCCATCTCACCTAAAGGAATGCATGATTATCGCCGCGGCAAGCTCGATATTCGATCGGTACTTGAGCGCTGGGGTTATCCACTTAGCCCCGAGGCTGCGAGAGAGGCAATCGGAGCCTTCTCCAATCGACCGCTCGGGGAACGGAACGCCATCTCTCTTCGGCCTGATCTGGCGAGTCCGGGAAAATTTCGAAGTTGCCAATGTATTTATTCGACGGTTCGACGGGAGGCGTCGTTCCGTGTCCACCATGCCCACGCATGCACGACGCTATGACGTGGCTCGAATCGTCCAGACTCTCGAGGGCATCGGACTCGAACAAACGCGCGATCATGCCTCGAAAAACACACCACGAGCGACTTCCTCATTGTGGCATTTCCTGAGAATTCTCGAAATTCCTTCATGTACTCCATGATCCATCTTCCGACGAGGTCCTCAACACAGGGCTGGTCCGCGCACCTGGTAGCGATTCCGTTCCATTATGAGGACCTACGAAGTGCGTCAGAATCAGGCATTCCACAAACGGAGCTGAGAATCGATGTCGGCTCCCACATCACACGGGCGATATGTGCCTCATACTCCCTCATTGCGGTTCCGAGTCAGGCTTCAGAAACCAGCCCAAAATTCAGTTGGGATCTCGAGCTTTTCCCACTGGTTCATGCGAAACATTTAGAGTCAAAAGGTGGACCTTTGCTCTGGTCCTCTTTTTTCCTGCTCATGGTAGCAGCGGGACGTCGATTCCCGGTCAGGAGACGATCACTCCCCGTTCGGGATTCACCTAACGTGATCGCATAGTTCTTAACGACAGAGAAACTCTAAGCATGCTTGTTTGTTTTTTTCAAGATTTATCCGTCCGCGGAGGTGCGACCTTCGATAGGCAAAGGAACACGAACGATGCAGCGTATCTAACGGTAGATACGATATTGCGTGAGTAGTGTCTATGAGGCGAGCCGCTCCCGATCTCTGTCAATCAAAGCAGACACGACGTGTTCTGTTCCGTGTGGCTCTGAGAAGATTCGAATTCTCCGCTCTCAGCCTGGATTCGATCCGCGGCGACGCCAGCGCCCCAGGCAAGTCCTGTTTCAGGATCACGACAAAAACACGTCGTGGAGTGTCTCCAAAGGCGGACTTATTTCGCGAAGATCCTGCGTTTTGGCGCCAGATGCGCTGAGTCCCGCTCAAGCTGACGCGGCTCAGGCTCGCGAGGTTTACGCTGCGTAGAGTTCGATGAGAACTCCGACGTTATCACCGTTCGTTCGCTGCGACAGGTTGTTCGCCTTCTAAGTCACCTGGAGTCACAGTCGGGTGAGTTTCTATTGAAGAGTTCTTGAACATCCCGCAGATGAACGAAGAGTATCCGTTGGCTGTGGCAGATGCCTCGAATGCGTTGGAAGCTCGCTTCATTCATTGAAGAAAGGACTAGTTCCCGCGTCGGCGTCGTGCTCTCCTGTTGATGGAAATTTTTCCCTGCGCTCCCGCAGTCTCCGCCACGGGGCTCTTGACTCTTTTGGAGGAAAGAGGATCTCATACCGATTTAGCGGCTTCGCCGACGTTCGGGAAGAATCTCTACCGTTCCCAACTATCACCTATGACCGTCTATCACCAATGACCCCGGAAAACTAGATCGTTGAGTTCAAAAAACTCGCTGAGCTTGGTGCTATCGCGAATACTAGCCCCGGAAGAGCTGAGTCTTGCACACCTGGCCGAAAATCACGATTGTACTGGAGCCAACGGGAGGCCAAAAGCTTGGGTCGCTCCGGCGCGGGACTCGGAACTGAAATTGAATGATCGATATGCGGACACCAGTGTTCATGAGAATGATGTCTAGATGTCTCAGGTACAGAGCTGTGCGCTGCGCCGAGCATCGCAAGTCCCATGGCGCGCCGCGGCGCTTAAGCATTGAGTCTATGGCGCCGCGCGTCGCGTCCTGGATATGGCGCACAGCTTTGCTCAGGTAGTATGGTGCTGCGATCTTCTACCGAGAATATCGAAGGGTCTTGCCAGGCCGATTCATTTTCGAGCTCAATACTTGAACGTCGTCGCCGGAACAGGGAGCTCGCGTGAATGATAGTGTGGAATTTCGTAAAATCAAAGACCTATTCTCGGACTTTCCGTCATGCCAGAGCTCGAGCGCTGTAGCGTGACCCCAAAAGAATGACATTGAAGCCGATGGGGATCTGAGCGAATTACGCGAAAGCACGAGATGCTATCCGCATGATGAGTCGTCGCTGATAGTATCCGATGACCTGTATGTCAATTTATGGCATTTTGTTCGAATCGACAATAAATCCCACGAGATCTTCATCGTACTCAATTTCTTGACGAGAACCTGACGGATGATGAGTTACAGACGGAGATGATCCATCTGTCCCGTAAGAGACGAATCTGTGTCCAGCCTCAATCTGATTCTGACTCTTTGCCGAGGTCAGATGAGAAAACTTTCGGAGAGCTTCCGGGGGCCGGACCGAAGAGAAAACAAAATATTTTTCTCGCTCCAAAAGGGAGCGGCGCAAGATGCGGAGAGGATATGTTGTGAGGTAGAATGTTTAAACGTTGTCCGGACGGCGAAACGAGATCGTGATGTGAGAAGGGCGACGATCGATGGACACCCGGAGTCTGTTCCGCCGAGGCTTTTCTACCGGTGAAGCTGCCACGGATCGCTCCGGAGTCACAGGAACGTTAGGAAAATTGTAGTTTTCCTCTGTCTCAACTCATAGAGATTCGATCCGTCGTCCAACGCTCACAAGTAGGCTCCATGTTATGCCGTGGAAGTCATTCAGAGATTTCCGACGGTGTCGCTGAACCTCCGGAGCCTGTTGTGCACGTCGATCGCGACGCTATCAGATCTTAGCATCTGACGCCACCTCAGAGACGTCGTAGATAAAGATTCGGATCTGTGTGCATGAGAAACCCGATTTCCTTCGTAGAATGTCGCTGTCTGGACAACCAAAGCTCCCGAGAATCGGGCGGAATCTCGGATTCCCAAGCATCGGGACGCTCGGACACTTGCGCGCCGATGCTAAGGGCTGCGATTTCCTCGATATAATCCGCGTCAAGCCGCGGCATATCATTGTTTGTCGACGATTCGGGTCATGAGTATTTTTCCTGTCTGCGGGCGGCGAGAGGATCGCTTTCGGTAGAGTTGGAGTCGTCGCATTCTCCCTGAGTCCTCAGAGGCACGTGATCTCACCCTCCACCCCCACGCGTACGTGGGCGTGTGTAAAGAACATGGAGAATGATCAAACAAGTTACGCAGGAGATCGACCGCGCATCCGCTCGTGTCGATGATGGATGAACGGAGAACAGCGGTCTTTGTTGCTCTCCGAACGCCGATTCAAAGAAACCGCTACGCGTGGGTTCCATGCGGGAAAGCGACGAAAAACTTCGACGCAATGTTGAAACAAAGTTTGCCCTCAGACGGATCTGTGATTGGCGTGGACATTCATTATGTTGTACAAGCGTCTCGTTGACTTCTCGCCTTCCGATGTTATCAGAGCGGCCTTGAGTTCGAATCAATTTATAACTTCGATCGGCAAGCTGTTCGGTCCGTGCTCTGTTCAGTCTCGGCCTTGCTCTCGGACCCGCTGGTCTTCGAGGCCTCACGATGCTGCGACTGGGGAGCAGCGGTCCCCGACCAGTGAGTCGCGGCTTCTCGACGGCGACATGGTGGCTCTGAGTGTCTGGTGAAGTCATAGTTTTTTCATTTTTTCGGAGAACGCTTCTCATGAACAGTAGGGGAAACCGGATGAAATTCTGTTACTCGAAACCCCCGCGATCATGATAAAATTCATGGAGCACACCACGCGACTGTACATCGAGTCCGGGCGCCGGAACGGGTGGGTTATCATTTATCTATCGCATTCCTCCTCATTAGTTGTCGGATGCCCTCTTATGGTGCATTTTAGGATAAGAGCGCGTCTTTCTCTATACGGAAAGACTCACCGTGCAGCTGCGCCAGCTGGCTGCGGTGGAGCTCTAAGAATTTCAACTTACTTCTCACCCAAGGTGCTCCTGTCCGAAAAGTCCGGAGCACCCTCTTCAGTTGTCGACGCCCCGCCCTTACCACGCCGCAACCTGTCTCCATGAAAAGCCTCTCCCTCGATCGTGTCTCCCGTGGTGAGGTGAACCGTAATCGCGACACGTTGACCCGTGAGATCCGTAGATCGCCTTCCGACGCAGCTCTCCGATCTAATTTTCCGCGAACAACTTGAACCGAAGGCAATTGTTTTCCCCTGACTCCAGATGCAGGTAGCTCCCCATTGGGAGAGATCTGAGGGATGGAGTTTTTGTCCAGCACCCTCCGCCAGATCAAGATCACGAATCATGTAGAGAGGACGTGATCTAGGAAGGTGCTCGCAAGAAGACTCTGAGTATTGACCATGAGATGATTTCCCAAGGAAGATGGAGGGTGACGCTCCGGGAGAACCGACACGAATCTGTTATGAAAGACTGGCCGCTCCTCTCTCTCCCGGCTGGCTCAAGACGCTTAATCATCGCCCGAATCGGACCTGATTCTGGATGAGTCTTCCGAAGGATGCTTGGTGTTCGAGAGTACCCTATGGATTGTTGCGCTGAGTCGAGGGGGACTCTGCGATGTCATGGAGGGATCCTCCGAGACAATGTCACGGGACAGGAACGAGGGATCGAGGCCCCCATCGAACGGAGACTGACATGACACATAAAGCGTGACCCCCCATTAGACCCAAAAAGCTTTCATTACTATCGATCAGTCGGCTATCGGAGCCAGAGTCGAGTTCAGGTCACAATGGAGGCGCGCCACTCCTACGTGTTTACAAAATCCAAGCCCGACGTTCCTGACGCGAACGCTTCCCTCAGTCTAAGAAGTCTCGTTCCAGGTCGACCGTGAAAAGCACGGATGGTCCTCCAGGCAAAAATGAGTTAGCTCCTCCAACAGTCACATCGCACTACTCTCCTCCACCGAGAGTGGCCACTCCGCTGCCCCCGGAGGACTTCGCCTACTGCGAGCATATGCCAGACATCCCCAATACGATGCAGGAGGAGTGGTATGAAGAGAAGGCGCGACTCGTCGAGGTGGATCCCGACATTCAGAATAGCATTCAGGTTGGTAGAGAATTTCGAATGCTCCTCTCAAAGCGATCAATGAATCTTCCCGTGGAGAATAATCAGATATCGATGACGAATGCCTCAAGGAAATTGAAGATCTGACCAAAGATCTGCAATTGGACATCGAAGACGACGAGGACGCATTCCGAGTGCTAAGGGGTGACCTGAAGATGAACCGCGCCCCTGTCCAACATCCAGCCTACAGGAATAAAATATTTGGGGATAAACTCTTCAACGTAGGAGCGGAACGACGCTATCCTCGAACGACGAGGTAGGGATCGAATCTCTTTTGAATAATATCGAGCCCAATGAGGAAGTACTCCATTCACTTGCTTCCGTGAAATGGAATGATGCTCGAAAACCTCGGACGTCTGAGTGAATGTAATGCGGAAGCTTTGCACTCGCTTGGATTCGGGGCGACGAAAACCGCGACTCCGAGGGTCGATTCTTTTCCACAGTCGTGAACGCCCCCCGCAAACGACTCTAAGACAAAGGCGAGCCTCGGTGCCCCGCGTCAACGCCTCCAGAGCTACCCAGCGCTCAAAGCCAAACTTTGTACCTTCGAAAAATTTCTTCACTGCAGGCCATGAAACGCGGCGAGCCGCGAAGTCCCCGCGGCAATTCCTGGATGAGCTCAGGTAGGCTATTGTCTGGTGTTGAGATTCTATTCGAGGAATATAGTACAGTACTGAATGCGGCTCGATGACGCGACAAGACTCTGCGAGAATTATTGCTTAGGCTCTCGATATCGACCAGGTATGATCATTCGATCGTAGCTTCTGCTCGATCAAAGTTCAGACCAATTTCGTATGGAATGACTCTCGTCTCGTGAAAAAAAACTCGCGGCTATTCATCGACCCGCGAAGTTCTCGACTTTGCTGGGCTCCGTGCATGTACGTAGCTTCCCACCTGCAAAGGGGCATCACGAGAATCGCTGCGATCGGAGAGTACTCGGTCGAAATCGATAAATTGAGACCTTACGGAGTCCATTGTGAGTAACCGAGCAAACGACATTGTTGACCTGATGCTGTGCAGCGAAGGAATTCGAAAGAGCAGGTGACTGCGTTCAGCGGTTCTGCCACGAAGCGATGTCTTGACGCAGATACCTTATTTTCATCTTCGATCCCAAGGTCACTGGGAACTGAATCATAGGTTCGCTTCGGAGCAGAGCTCCGCCTTCATAGCAAAGTATTGCTGAGAAGATAATCTCCCGTCCGATGCGTGGGCCTATTGTTGGGGGGGAGAGCGCCGTGGCCACGGACCTTCATCGATCGATTTCTTACGGATGTCTGGACAATTCAAGAAAATCTATACTATCTCACGGAGGCGGTCTATCCGCGATCTTGGCTTCGATATGATCTATATACGAGCTCTCGCGGCTGCACACGGATAGATGCGGTCTCAATTGATCATGATTCATGACTCATGACGATTATCTAGACTTCGATTAGGCGCATTGGTTTCCGGGAGTTAGCCTCGGGGCCCTGAGTATATCACAGATTATCCCGACTGATTATCTCTGCATGATTTCGACATCTGTTCCAGGTCGAATCGTGCTCCGATTCTCCAGAACAACTTCCTCAAGAACCCTAGCGCCCGGCAATCTGTGGACTACTATTCCTCGCCCGCAACGCCGGACGACCTTGATATCGACAAGTTCCTCAGAGCCAACAGTAAAGATGTGCGTAATGTTCCGCATTGCATTCGAGATCGCCAACGCGAGCTCTCCGATGGAATGGAAGTTTTCCAAAGACTCGGATTAAAAGCTAAAAATCCTGCCACGTAATATTCCTACCATGGAGGGCCATTCTACCGTCTGAACTTGAGACAGAGGTCGAACCGCGACCTTCGCTTCGACCCAAAGCGGATAACGCGTGATACTGTTCGCAGGGCTCTGCCGGAAGCAGCAATGGGTCCCGGCTTTCGACTCGATCGACGCCGGATGGAGTGTTGGATGATGTCAAAAACGCACCCTCGAGAACCAGGTAATATTATCGAACTCAAGAGCTTTCGTGACTTGCCATGATTCGCGATCGAACGATGAATATAGCCTTTCGCTATATAGATGGCCCGGAACTCAATTTTTCATTGGAAGAGATTCCGCTTGACTCTACAGGCGACTTTTCTATTACAGAGAATTCGGACCATCGTACGATGATGCGGACGAGTTGATATTGAAAGACATCGAACAGGAATTCCTCTAGGATTTCCGTCTCTTCACTCTACCAGTCGTTCAGTGCTTGCGGATGTACATAGGCTCTCTGTGACTGAGCTCGAAGCACATATATGACTTCTCGGATGTATATAAAAACGTGCGATGCGAGGAAGGGCAGTATATTCAAGAGGGGACTTGATTGGTAGCTTGAAAATTATTTTATTATATGCGTCGCATGAGCTCATGAGAAACTTCTCGAGCATTCCTCGTGGAGCATAAAAACTTCAGCGAAAGGCCAAACATATCCTCGAGAAAGCCCACGTGATTTTTTTGTGGTCGAGATTTCGACGCCAAATATTCATTGTAAGTCATGAGCCTCGTTGCGCAGTCGTATACGACTCCAAGACGTCTCGCGTATAATATCGGCGACGACCACCGTCATCAGAGACCAAGGTCGAAGTCGTATTTCGCTTCCATGTATAGCTTAAGGAATTCTGCGTAGATTTTCACGTCTACTAATTCCTTGACGGCTGGTTCTTGCTGCATTGACGCGATCCAGCTGTCCAGCACGGCGGTTCTTGGCAGCTGCAGCTCAGGATAGATTTCGCGGAGAGCGAGGTAGTGATGGAAGAAAGGCCAGATCATATAATCGACGAATCCTGGCTGCTCATCACCTGCAGAAGCGAGAGCCAGATTAGAAAGGCTCCGGAAATGACGTATAGCTGATACGTGCGCTCATTCCCGGAACCATCGAAAATATTCGTATCACAGAACTCACCAGCAAGGAACTTGCGACCTCTTTTAGTTAGCTCGTCGACGAGTGGCTTCACTTTCACTATGAAATCTTCGAAGAATTCGGCACGTCGCTCATTTTCGAAGTGAATTTTTAGAATAGGGAAGAGGGAGAGGCTCTCGAGGAACATTTGATCGAGAGCTTTGTCGAAAGGGTCTCTTGGGATCAATGGTGCTCCATCCGAAACCGAATCTAGATACCTGCGCCGCGCAAGAAATTTGGATTGGTAATACATTCGTCCGTATACGAGATACGTGGGAGGAGCGGGCTCGCATCCCTCACCGAATCTCTAAACTTATCAGAGGAGGCGATGAGAGATGAGAAGGAGAAAAAAGCAAAAAAGGGAAAATTTTCGGCAGAACTCACTCAGCAATAACCAGAGATTCAGAGAGCACTCGGCCGTCCTTCTCCAGTAAAGGTACTTTGCCCGAGGGACTCTTCTTCAAGTACCAATCCGGCTTGTCTTTGACATTGATGTTGCATATCTCCACACTGTAAGGCACGTGATCTTCAGCTGATATCAGGGGTGGGACCACATCGGTCATCCTATCGATGCAATCTTGATCGAGTGGGGAATTCCGCTATATAATCTGGCTCGGGTTCTCTCGAGGAGCCCACTCACGGAATATTCTTATGGAAGGCAACCAGGACGGCCCTGTGGCTGAAAGGACAGAAACGATGACAGTACAGCCGGATGACTCCTGTTTTCGCTTCCGGCTCACTCGCTCCTGTTGAGGATAGAAAAACGAACTGAGCTGAAGTTTCTATCTTGGGCTACAGGACCAGGACGTGGGTAAATTACAACAGACAGGGCATCGATGTTCACAGACAGGGATTCGATTCTCCACTCTCGAATGAGGAGAGCTCTTCGACTCTCTTGGGACAAAGTTTGACATGGTAGTTTCCATGATGGTACAGGTCATGATGATCTCCCGCAGCTGCTCTCCGTAGAGTGGATACACTCACCGCTTCCCAACGCCTTCAGTGACATCGCTCTATACTGTTTCCTGAGAAACTACCCGAAGGAATTTCTGTCTGACACTCTCCGCCCCTTTGAAACAAGGCTCCCTTTCGTGTTACACGGTGACAGCCGGCGTAAACATGGTCTGCTCGGGGAGAGAGGCCCGTTGCCAGCAAAAACGAGAGAGGGTCATCTCGCGCTTGACACGACTCACTGTGTACTGTTGACACTATCGACGACGGCCGCCGCTTTGAAGTCAGCTGGCGGAAGCACATTTTCAGTCATATGAGAACGCTGTCTGCCGTGAAGCTCTTTCAACGAATCTCCAGCGAAAAAAGGTCAGACAAGTCGAGGCTGGAAGCAGAAAGAGTTCTCAATGCTTTTCGAAGCGGTCCGTTCACTGACCACGAGAATTTTTTTCACAGTTTCTGCTCATTGAAGATGTCGATTCCCCTAAAGGCGTTTGCAGCTGGTGAGTTTCATTCCATTCCTATGCCCCGCTATCGGATCGGTTCTCGCGACTTGAAAGCTCGCTGGTGCCCTCAGGGGACGTCCGATGGGATCGAGAAAGGTGGTCATGCTGGCGCGTTCCACTCTGACCAGGAGAAATAAGCAATATAAATTTCCTCCAGGCTCTATAGAACCACCGCGGGCCGAAGGCGCTCTTCGAATCTATTCTATGCGGTTCTGTCCTTTCGCAATGCGACCCCTCCTCGTGCTCATCGCTAAAGAAATCCCGTGAGTTATCAGTGCGAAACCCCAATTCACGAAATCGGGGTATATGGGGCGTAATTCTGTTGAGTCTGAAATTGGACCACGAGCCGTCTCCGGCATAGCCGCAGCTTATAGGCACTGAAAGAGGAACCATTTCTCCCACAGCCATGAAATCGTCAACATCAACTTGTCCGACAAGCCCGAATGGTACCTCAAGAAATACGCTCCTGGGAAAGTGCCGCTCCTGGAGTCGGACACGGTCCTCTTGCCGGAGAGCTTGATAGTTTCTGAGTAGGTTTCTGAGCGACCAAGCCAAATTCGGTTATCGCCCTCGATATTTGTCTTACTTAGAACTGTACTCCCAGGATGCGGGTCCATAGATGGTCACGAAGATTGAGCAATCGATGATTCCAGAGTTGAGACTGATGGCTCCGATTCGATCTCCACAGATACTTGGAAGAAGCTCACCCAGGACGTAAGCTCCTACCCAACGACCCTTACAAGAAAGCGCAGGATAAGTTGCTTCTCGATTCTTTCGCATACATGCCCGTCTTCAAGAGCATATTCAGTCAAAGTGAACACGTCGAAGGTTTCGAACAGTTCTGGAAGAACGCCGAAATTATCGAGAACGGACTCAAGACTAGAGGAACGAAATTCCTGGGAGGTAAATCTTTCGTCATCCAAGATTCGATGGATCGTCGTTCAATTTGAGAGTTCAGCGCACATTATCGTTGAAATCGCAACTGTCCTCAGGTGAGCAACCAGGCTACCTTGACCTGATGATATGGCCCTTCTTCCAAATCGGGGTCAACGCACCGAAATTCCGACCCGAATTGAAGCTCCCTCGCGACTCAATGCCCGTCCTCATGGAATGGACCGATTCCATGCTGCGAACTCGCGAAGTCAAGGAACTTGTCGACCAGGACCATTTGGTGGAGTACATGAAAGCTCGCTTGGAAGGAAAACCCAACTACGACGTCGGCTTGGAGTCTTGACTGACTGATTGATTCATCCATATCTACGGCCTTGTATCGACGGGCGTTCGCTGAATCAAGTCTCTAGATCGAAATCTGATTTTTTCGTATCTCTATCGTCCTCTTTCGAAAATATCGTCCTCAGTAGCGATGCTCTGGCTCCATCCGTGGCAAGAGGTGCTCGTGGCTCGTATCCATCGACAGGCAGAGCGAATTACGTCATAATCGATCACCTATCTTTTAGCAGGGAAAAAAGATCCCCGTGGAAGCTGTGGAGCTAGGTACGCCTTCAAGTTCAAGGAGAGCTCCGAGGGCGAGGGGCTCCAGACGCCGGGAGACTACTAGAAATCTGAACATATCAATCCTATGATGGGAGGGCGAAGTTCGATCAATTTTATTATTAGAGCTCGGAAGTCCAGGCACTGAAAAATGCCGAAAATGGCAGGCAAAAGGCACAATAACAGCTCAGAATAGAAAAATTGACGTGTAGGCGGACCATCGGATTCTATCGGAAGCAGGATGTGTTCCTGGAACATGGATTCGCTGGCCCTATCCATCGCCGAATCCGTTCTAAGACCCCAAATCTCCCCAGAACTCCCCGAATTCAGCTTCTCGGTCGCTCAGAGAGGCACTTTCGGCGCCGAAAAACTTAGACAGGCGGAAGGCCTGAACTCCCGAGTTCTGTTTATTATTCATCTTTGTCATTCGAAGGATTTAGTCTACTCGATTCGTACAACTCATCGTTCATCCTTCCCCGGAATGCCTGATTGAAGTTTACGCTCGCTTGGAGTGCTGCGCTTTCGGACTCGGACGCCTTCTGCCAGCTCTCCTTCATGTGGCGCAAAGCTTAAAACTTTCGTACGAGCATTAGGATATCCAACTCGAGCGAGGAGTAGGATATCCGACAGGTGGAGAGGCGGTTCATTTCCGTTGATTATTGCTCCAATAGATTGATATCATATAATGAGTTCACTCAAAGTTCAAGGTCCCTTCGGCGGCCGACATACTTTCCGAATTTCTGCTAGAAACCTGAGGAATGGTAGCCGGTAACCGTCAAACCCTATTGCTATCATGGCGTATCTCCCTACTCTCGGTTGGGTACTCCGTCACAGCCGATGAAGGCCGGAACATCAGTCGGCCGTTCAGCCTCAGCGCTGGAAACCCTGTGAAATTCGTTGAACACAGAGCGACAGGAGGAATGCACCTTCTCGCGAAAAGACTCAAAGCCGATAAGGTACTACGCGGGAGTTGGCTGCTCGGGCTTTCGAATCGAGCATTTTGGATGGCAGCAGGACTCGCAGACCGCACGCTCTCGGTTCTTGGCTTTCGCTCGGCGCTCAGGGATCTTGGATGATACGGGTTGCCCACGTCTAGACATCCGCTCGGGGTAGTCTTGAGATTCGACAGGCTGACGCATGTATCCTCGTTCCTTCACTTGCCATGCTTCCACCACCGAGCTCGTTCGCCGTTGACCCGTAACCACATCCGAGAAAATTTGTAGAGATTGATTGATTGTGCGATCAAGACGTGATCAGGTGTTTCGGACCGAGGAATCACGTAGATACCCTGACGAAAGACTGCCCTAAGTCGGGCGATCAGACACCGAGTGCAGGGAACAACCGCTCGCATTGTCCCATTGGATTCATTCTCTGACCTCCGAAAGAAAGCAAGGGGGACAGAGAAGCCGTAGGTCGTTGACGAGTTTGAATCGATCTCTGAGCATGGAGCCTGGATCGTTATCTCATCGCTCATTGGGCGAACGCGGGGAAAGTGAGCAGTGCACCGGGGAAGGAGGACATCTGGGAGGGGCGACCTCTGAGACTTCTCAAGGAAGTAACTATGGATCGATAGCGTAGAGCTCGCATTGCAACATCGGGAGGCGTCGCCCTGGAAAGCTCCCCAGCGGTGACTTCATCGAAGGAGAATTGCGTCTCCGCTCTCTCAAGTGGAGCTCGCTATCCACTATCATCTATCATCTGAACTGCCGAAAACATTCTGAGTTGGTCAGTCCGAAGCGTTCTTCTTCCTGCGAGGATCCTGTGTCTCATTCTGCGGTCAGCCTCGATCATCGAATGGCGAAAGTGCCGGAACTCCGGGGACATAGCTTCTCCTCGCCTTTCTGCTCTGCTAAGAGATGAATCGACTGGTCTCAAAGCATGGAATGAAAAATATCAGGTGTCAGGTCATCGACCGAAAATGAGCATTTCAACGTCCAGAGACCGTATTTTTGAGAGTTTTCTTCGAAGTCCCTTCGACCCGTATCGCTGAGCTTCCACCGAACGGGTCGTGTCATCTCGTCGCAAGCTTGACTTCGGCTCTCTTTGTTTCCGTCTGATAGTGAGAATTCCGCCGATATAGTCGCCTCCAACTGGATGGTAAGGGTCTGGGAGAGAGTATGACCCTGTCGAAAGGGATATGATACACGCTGAAAGAGCTCGGCCCCAATCTCGTGAGCCCTGAGCTCTGGAGCTCCCACTGCTGAGTCCTTGGGAAAGATTATTATTATTCTTATCCCATGTGCACGTATCGTGGTAGCTCCCTGCAGGAGCTCTGTGCGCCGGCTGTATCGAGCGGGCATTTGATAGCCCTTCCCGGATCGCTGAGAGAATACTTCAGGAAGTCGTTGAAACTCCAATCACGACGAAGTAGATCCGGAACGTAAGAACGATGCGTGATTCAGTAGCTGATGAGTCGGTTGTACCTGTCCGACAGGAGTCGTCGATCACAGCGAATCTGGCAGAGCGACTAGGGATAAGAGGACGCTTAGATAAACAGCAGCCTGCAGTGTGGAGTTTCCTCATCGCTCTGAGCACAAGCAGGTCAGATGTCAAGATGTCCGTGACTCCAAGCCTACCAACTCTCGCTCACCGTTTCGCCGGAAATCTGAGGGATTTCCCGAGGTTCTAAAAGTACTGATACGAGAGCTTGTCAAGAGATCTTGCTTCTCGGCTTCAGTCTCGAGCGATATAGCCGCTCTCCGAGTCGGAGTAGTCTGACTGTAGCCGCCTCGGAGCCTTTGCTTTCTCTCTCACTTCCAAGATGAGAGGTCGAGCCGCCTTTTCTGCCGCAGATCCAGACCTCTCCGGCGAGAAGGGTAACCCTGGATCAGAAAGAGGTGCTGATTAGAGTGCAGTCGCGAGAGTGATATCAAGACGAGATAAACGCAGATTATCGTTATCCTTCGTCAATAAAAGCGACAGAGTCTCGGGAGCCAGATTACCGATCCTTTTCCCAGGTCGCAATCTGATCCCCATGCGCGACGCAAGCAGCTCGTGTCGGTCAGAGGGTCAGATCGTCCGGCATACACATGGATACGTGGTCTTGAACCCTCTTGGAAAAGCAAATGTCTTTTGCCTTGAACCGAAATCAAGGAACAGCAATGAGCTTTTTTCTCCGGATCGCATGCCAGGCTTGTGTTGATCATCATTCTGATCCCGATCATGTGGAGGGAATGGCTGTGGATCGAAACTCATTCAGTATAAGGATATCCCCGAGGGCAGGGACACAGCATTCCGTGTCGAACTCCATAGCGATTTCATGCGGGAAATCTCGCTCAGGTGAGATGGAGAGTTGAATTGCTCGGCGCAGGGCGCCCTTGATTCTCGAATTCAAGTCGAATAATTGCATCGCGTCTGGATCGACTCCAGGTGGCGGAAAGACTGACGAGCGCTTCGTCAGCCACGATGAGCGCCACATGGCTTTTTGTCGGCGATAAATTAATCCATCCGCCGACCCGGAAGCGTACACTCCCCTGGGCCCTCTGAGTACTCTGATTACTTGCATCACAAGAAACGATGGAATTTCGGACGTGACCCGTTGATACTGACAGTAATACTTATAATTAAATTGGAATAAGGTAAACTCAGGGGTCGTTGAGCTCGACGAGGCTCTTTATTGCCTAGAGGAAGTTGCTCACTCATTTGGGGACCATACTTGCGGCGATTAGGATTCCCTATCAACACTCCCTTGCATCATCTCGAATAATGGGTTTTTCGTCAGATCTGGGCTGAAGCGCAGCAATATCTCATCGAACTTGATATAATCGATGTAGACGTGGACGGCTCGAAGGAGTTCATCGTCGAGCTCCTCGGTTTCAGCAAACTCCTTCAGAAAGAGCACGATTTCGTTGTAATGGCTCCGGAATATCCTTAGAAGATTCCTGGAAGGGAACAAGGTGCTCTCGAGTTGTCCCGAGATTGAAGACTGTCCTCATCGGTCATCCAACTCAGAATCGTATCATATGACTGTGGGCGCTCGTGTTCCGCAGTCGCGGGCCTCGAATACGATTCGAAAGAGACTCACCTATAGTCGAAGTCCTTGTCGAAAAGCAACTCGACAGGCTCGTTCCTTTCCCGGAAATATTCCACGATTCTTTCCAACAGTCGTGTGGAGACCCCTGTTTCGCTCAAAGTCCTCAACTCTACCAAGGGCTTCGACGAGCGGCGGATTTGCTTGCCTATGAAGGTTTCTATAAAATGCTCCAAGTTATTGCCGAATTCGCCGCATCGCTCCTGGATTTCTGCAACGGCGCTAGAAACGGTCAACACGGAAGTTGATTTGCGAAGCGATCGGATCGGCCGACACTCACCGTCAGCACGCTTCACAGCTGCGCGCACCTTCGGTTCTTGATGGAGATAATTCACGAAGAACCACGGCATCGAGAAAGGCTGATCTTCCGTCTTGCCTTGACCGCAAGAGGAAAAGCCGAGGAATGTGTGACATTCTCCCCCGACCGCCTCCGCAAGAAAACTGATATTCAACGCACACAGGATCACCCATTGAGCAGTTATCGAGTTCATCGGAGAATGTCGGCGTCGTAGGTATCCGCTATGGAACGAATCAGGCGTCGAGGACGTCAGCGGGTCGTTGGCACATCGCTTTTCAGCAGGCGATTGAAATACCTAATGGAAGCTGCAGCGGCTGAGCATCCTGTGTTTGTGAATGAACTCCGTCGAGCTGCCCTTCGCGCATTGAATCAGGCCGACGACTGGATGCCTCGGGATTTGTGCTTCTGACGCAGTGCCTCAAGCTTGTTAATCCGGTTGAGTCGCATGCATGAACTAGACAAGACAACGGTGGCGCAACCCACGACTCCGCGAAATGTGTACACCGTGCGAGACACTCTGACGCGACTTGGTGGAAACACACCTGCTACAGCTCGCCGCTCGCAAATCTGACTCTTTCCATCGAGCTAGTTGATTCGTAGGCTCTAGAATTCAGTACGTCACAAATCCACGTCGCCATTTCCCCAAGCTCAATTAGATTCAGACTCAGGCTCCTCGGATGGAGTCCACGATTTTGCCCTGGAGGGCGCAAATGTTATCATGTGGAGTTGGGGAATTTTTCCCAAACTCCCTCGTCGCCTGATGCTTGCTTCGGCTCATCATGATTGGGATAAGATTGGGGTCGATTCTGCGGAAAACTCCTTGCACCTCTTCTAGAAAGTTTGAGACAACGGTGTTGACTCATTGTGTCATCTCTTTTCTTTCGTCGAGCTGATTATTCGTGGCGTTGGTCGAAGAACCACGTTGAGCCCGATGTTGAGCATGCGCATCATGACATGGAATGGGCCTCCTCCGGGAGGAGGACGTTGAGTGAACTTCATTTCGGTCGAAAGAACTCCAGTGACCAGCGGCGAGGTCCATGAGTAGTATGAAGAGCACCAGACACGTCTCTCCCTTATCGATGCATTTATGAGAATAGGGAGCTTTTCCGAGGAAATGTGACTTCTTCAACGCTGGGGACATTTCACATCGCACACGGCCAAGGCGAAGGTCCAGCGTGGGAAGTATAGTTTCTACCCGGAAGCTCCTTAATTCGATCCGCTATCCTCGGATCTCTATCCCCAGCCAAGCGCCTCTAGGCTGCGATTACTCTTGTAGAATAATATGCGTGCTGTACGAAACCGGCCTCCGAGCAGGGAGCAGTAAGCGCCGCGCCGTCGTGGTCTTTCACGTTGAGGACGGCGACTTGACACTCACACCCCATACTACGTAAACACATGCAGAGCCCAAATGCCTCAGTGAATTCGACTTATTGGGCACCGGATCCAAATCCGATGGGCATCATGGGTATTATAGACCACGCGGGCCGCGAGGACTTGACATGTTCTCTAGCGACATCAATTTCCAAGACGGTTCTATGACCCTTAATTCTTCGGTTGGTGGAATGGCGATTCGATGCCGACAACATGCCAGAAGCCCTTCATCAGCGATCGGCGCTCGACGGCGGGATGTATGAATGTTACGGTGGTACGTCTTCACCAAGCAGAAGCTAATCGGTTCCGGGTCTGCTTGTGAGTCTTCCCTAACTCAACCCGAATCTGCCTTGACTCCTCTTTCCTAGACGAGCTCTGTCCCGAAGTCGCACTCGCGCCCTCCATCTTTTCCTTCGTCTTGGCACGATTGAGACAAGACGCCGGTCTGAGGTCACGGACCCCAGATTTATCGCAGGAAGCATAAGATGATCCGAATGTAGAAACTCCAGTGGACGTTCTCGAGCGCCGAGTTCGCACGCTTCTTCTCGATCACGTCCGCACAGCCCGACAATCGGGAAACAAAACACCGAACGGAATCCTATCCGTCCGAGAAATCCGAGTTCTCAGAGAGGCAGGGCGTTCGAAAGTGAATTTTCCACTCGTATCTCGTTCGATATTCGTGTTTACTTCACGACAGAATTCGTCTCTCCACGATGCTTTAGACGGAGTTCTGAATTCACGCTCTGATGTTCGAATCCAGAGACTTCTCCGCAGCGGAAAAGCAACGACGATGAGCGGTAGTTTTGGAGTCTCGTATAATATGCCGGCTATTGCACAGAGGGAGCGAGTCCCGTGTACCCACCGAATCAATAAGCTCCGCTCCACATTTGCTTCAGGTAAATGGATCCTCTCTCTAGGGAGCCTTTTGTCTGCACGCGGAATGTTTCGCTGCTGGGGGTCCCGAATGCCCGAGAATTTCCCGCTCGAGTCCGCCAGAAGTCCACCGCGCCATACCGATTCTTCGTTAGGAGCAGTTTTCTCTTGTTCTAGGACGGACCAGATGCGTGAGCAGTCGCGTGAAGCTCCTGCGCCGACTGTTACGACGTCTGCGAGAGAAACGAGAAGATATCATCGAAACGATCGACGGGGACCCGCGAAAAACTCAGATAGGAACAGTATTGGATGAAATCGAAGCCTTCCTGGAAGAACTGAACGACAATGTATCAGATGTTCAAGATTGGGTCAGACCAGAGCTCATGAACGATAGGCCCCTTATGTTCTTCGAAACACCATATATCCACAGTGAACCCCTAGGGCTTTGCCTTGTTTTCGACGCGTGGACATACCCGGTAAGCCTGGCGGTTACCGCCGTGATCAGCGCTCTGGTTGCCGGGAACGCAGTGGTTCTGGCTACGGATTTCTCTTCGGAGACAGGAAAGGTCGCTCGGCGCCTTTTCAAACATCTCGATTCAGGGATCTTCCTTATGCTCAACAGAGTTGTCTCGAGCCCTGAGAGTATTCTCGGAGTGAATTACGATCACATATTCTTCACTGGATGCGAGAAGATAACCAGTTGCATCTCCGGAGCCGCTGAGGAGCAAGCGATCCCATTCATCTTAGAGAAGGGCGGGGAATCGCTCGCCTATGTCGACCCGAGCGCCGATTTCGGAAAAATGCTCATCAAAACGCATGTTCAAGGTGTTAATGGCGAGAAACCGGCACTCATACTGTGTCCCGAGGAAGTCTATGATAAATTCCTACATTTTTCCGTCAATACTTATGTTGAGAGCTTCGGCCTCCCCTGTGTTCGATTGAGTAGACCCTGGTATAGGAGTCGGCTGACGAGTCTGAATAAGAGTGTGACGAAGCTGGTCAACGGCTCATTCGAAGGCGGGGCTCCAGGGTCTGATCCCGAGAAAGCGCGGCGACGGGTCTGTAGGATGAGACCGATGCTCAAGGTGCAAGACCTCGCGGAGGCCATCGCTTACATCAATAACCGCGGGAAACCTCTCAACACCTTCCTCTTCGCCAAAGATACGAAAATCATTCAAACATTCATGAGCGGAACGACGGCGGACACTGGGTCGAGGATAATTGTTTGGGACTGAATGCCGTTCCCAATGAATTGGGTTGTTCCATGTCATCCCGTAGGTCTACGGTGATGAATGGAGAGGGACGACCACTCGCATCAAATTACATCAGGGGAACCGCAAAACGAGCGAAAAATGAACGAAATAATTCGACAACCGATTGAGGCGGTCATTTGAGAAACGTATTTATTCTTTCGTAGAAATGGAATAGGAGACGCTCTCGACTCTTTTTTAGGTTCAGGCCACTCCTATATGGGCATGCGGAATATCCCGAGAGATCCCTATTTTCTCCCTTAGGCGCTCATTTCACCATTCTGACTTGCGTCGTCTCAAGATTTCTGAGAGGATTGGGCTGATGTCCCGCTCGACTCTCTGCTCACCTGGAAACGCTGCTACAGTTTGTCGACTTGAGAAGACGAATAACTTGATTGGACCATGCATTGATGGAAAACAAGCATTTGCAGCGAAATTGTGTAGAGGGAATCGGATGTTCCGAGTTGCGACGGAGTTGCTCAAGTCTTCATGTTCTTGATATTCTCCTTGGAGAGAATTTGACAGATTCGTGGTTGGATAGGTCTCGGCGATGAGTCCGAGGGATCAATACCCTCGGACAACGTCACAACAATCTATAATTAACACAATTTCCGCGATAGAATCCGATTGAACTGGAAACACTATCTCCGTCTCCGTGAGCTCTTTCCAACCTCATCTCGTCTTGAAGATGCACGCCGGGGACGACCAACGTTGAACCGAAGCTCTGCGAACGTCGAGTCCCGAACTCACGGAGCGCGTCAAGCCGGCCACGCTGCGCCGTCGAATCAGCCACTCTTCAGAGTTCCCTGGGCTGCTGATTAAGAAGCGTCGCGTACTTCACGATAGTCTGTAGGGGCGCATCCAGATAAACAGCGGATCGACGCTCCGGGACGGTCATCTTGTGTTGAACCTCGACCTGCGCGGCGCCGGCGGAGGTCTGATTAGTTCTGAACTCACATCGCTCCAACTCAGTGCTTGCAACGTGGCTAATTGTAAGCCGAGCGATTTTCTACACGGGACCTTTGTCGATACGCTGCTTCCGTCTCCGTCGCCTCTCGTGTTCCGCTCATGCGTCTTCGGAGATAGTTTCGAGTCCCAGAGGGGAACAAATTACATTCGGGAGTCGGTTCGGAAGAACCAGTCCACCACGTTCGACAGGACGACATACATCGCCACGCAGAGTGTGCGAGTCGCTCGTGCTGTCTCATAGAAACACGGTGATGATGAGCACTACACGAACACCTTCTGCCTCGGATTATGCATTCCGCCCGGCTATTCACTCGCACGCAATCCGACGCGTTGATGATTTCTGGACGGACCTGTGCTTCACCGGCATTTGATCGATTCACGAGCGGGAACCGATATTCGAAGCCATACCTCTCAAGACTCCCGAACTCTGAACACTGTCTGCGGTGCTACGAGTAGATCGGTCTGATATGGAGAATTTGTTGCCAACAAAAGAATGCGTTCGATGACTTCTTTCCCGGAGAGTTCGGAAATCAGCGACAGCACTTGGATCCCTTACCAGATTGTTGACCGCAGAATTCAGTCACCAGAGATACCCATCCTCGAGGCGTGACCGGGCCTGACCTTCACCAAAAAAGCTCTTGCTCTCTCAGATTTTTCAACCACATTCTTCAACCTGTCAATCGATTCCTTGCCGGGAAGCTAGAGATGGCCGGGATGACGTTCTGGCTGGCTTGACGTGCACCGCCGAGCTCACGAGTGCACTCAATGCCCTTCATATCGAGGTAGCATTTTTCTGAAGCTCTCTGCTACAACATTGTCGCATGCAAGCTGTTGGGATCGGTCGGGCAGAATTCCCATTCGAAGAGGAGGCCGACAATTCGATGGGTCCTCGAGACTACTCGACCCTTCAAATAGAGTTTTAGTCATCATACAGGACGTCGAAGAATTGGAGTAATCTTGCTCCAGGGTTATGCATCCCGGCCAGAATAACCGGCGCTGCTGCCACTCGCATCTATGAGCACAATGGTGAAGGCTTAGGGGTCGTGAAAAATCTCCTTATCGTATTCATCTCGTACCTCGCACATGCAACAGAAGACTCGTAGAATCGAAACCGTTGGGAGCAGTGAAGTTCTGAGCAGATATGCAATCGATGCTGTGGAATCACGAGGGTTTGCTTCGCAGACGCGCTTGCAGTCCCCCGCCAGTAGGCCGAAACCGCTGCGGGGGTGCCTTATGTGGACGAGTCGTAGACGAGGTTTGAATATACAATTTCACAGCTCACCCACAAGCGGGAAATGAAGCCATGCAGGAGACTCTGACCAGTAAGCATTTTATCTTGAATGTATTCCCTGGAATCTGCTCACGCCTAGATTCATACTCCATGCGGGCAACATTCTCGGAGCGAAACGGATGCCCATCTCCTTTGATGATTCAGCTTTCTAATCGCACGAGTACGCAATTCAAAAAATGTATAGAATGCATTCACACCTATCCCGACAGAGCGCTAGGTCTGCAGCTGAAGATTGGGTGACCACGGGAACAACAACGTAGCACCAACGGAGACCCGGCTATCTGTCCCTACAACTCACTCAGACGGGATCCGACGGGGGAACATTGAATTCGCCGATTGGTGAACTTCGATCGACGCCCGGACCCATGTCGATAATGAAGCTCTCCCGTTGCCTCATCCTAGCTTGCTGAACTTCTTGCCCCTTTCGAGAGGGAAATGCGAAGCTCTAGTCATTTGCGAGAAACCAGAACCTGTCTGTCCGGACGAGGAGCAGTGGGACTCACAGTCCTTATCTTGGACTCACTTCGGGACCAGGCTACCTCATAGTTTGCATGAGCTTTCCCACTCACTTGTAGTATGATTCCGTAGCAGGAACTCCGACTCCAAGGGGGGGCAGCTACCTCAGGAATTTCTCGCTCGTTTTCTTTTTGTGGCAGCAGCATCGGTATCCTTGCTCGAGCAGCTGCCTCGCCCGACTTATATCCCTCCTCTGCATCATCCGAAGAGAAGCCATTCCATGAGGTTGTGTCGGAGCATCAGTAAGGCGTACGAATTGCACTCGCTATCATTGACATTACGAACGGCAACGTCAAGAAGCTTAGGGCCAACGAAGACCTTCGTATCGAATCTCACGATCAGCAGCGGGAACAATATTTATTCCAGACCGGTCGTTTTTTTTGGTCCCTGAGGAGATGTAAGAGATATCGTGGAGATAAATCTCCTCGATCTGGAGCTGTTAGCCACAGAGAAGGATAACCTCTTCCAGTATATCCCTCTCCGGGCTGATTCAGCGCAAGAACGTGCTCGGTGACATTCCAAGATATCGCCGGGAGTTCACAACCTCGGTATGGTCAGCCATGAGACCCAAGGTGGGGATGTTGAGCACATCTCCACGGATTCTTGTAACTGAAGCTTGACTGTCGAAACCATATGAGTTGACTACGACGTCTATGAAAAATAGGAGTTGGAATCGCTCACTGGCAAGCGAAAAGAGAAGGCGACATCTAGTTGGAGAGTTGAAGCAGTTCGACGTCACTATAGATAGGGGCCCGATGAACATAGCCAGTGAAGTCCTCGAGCTGATGATTTGAGTTTTCGGAGCCACAAAGGGACACGGCATGCGATTATCCATTGCAATCCAGTCGTGGAGGCAGTCACGCATCGAGAGGCCCGTTCTGGTATTCTCGGGGCTTAGCTTGAAGCCGAAAGCAATCCGTATCATGAGCCGCCTTGTGCGCTCAAAGACTTCAGAGGAGACCTCCCCAGAATAAACATCTCCACTGGTAATTTCCCTAAAGTGTGCGAAGAAACGAAGCTGCTCAATTATGGTGGATATCGAAACTGTCATCTTCAGCGAAATGGCGATGGGTTCTGGTCAGGACCGAATGGAGCGATTTCTCGAACCACCGCCGAAGACGACAGTCGACAAACTCGATCCGCATATCCTCTCTCTTGCCCACCACCTGACCAATATGGCAGCAAGGAAGTGTACTCGGTCCTCTGTTGTTTATTATCTTCATGAATGATTTCGTCAAGATTGATGTCGATGCCAAAATTGTTCCATTCGCTGATGATACTGTCCTCCCATTCCGTGATAATGATATGGATTCGTTGTATCGTGATGCGGAGGTTGGTATAGCTAGAGTAGCGAAATTGATGTCCGTGCACGTGCTGGTGCTCAATGTATCAAAAACTCAGCACATGGTATTCTCAAGAGGGAATGCCTCAGAGGAACCTCAGCGCCCGCTCCGCCCACATGTCTCTGACTGTGATAGACTCTCATGTAACTGCAAACTTATCATTCGTGTAAACTGTTATAAGTATCTGACTTCTGCTCGACGAAAAACTCAAATTCAGTGAGTATATACGGAAGATCACGAATAAACCGGCTTTCGGAAAACCTGCGAGGACGTCCTCCGCCCCTCTACCTACCTCTTCGGGTCTACTTGAATTTCAGGGACTGCATGCTCTCTCCTTGGTCACGATGCTTTCCAGGAGAAGCCACACACTTGATCACCCTTCTCAACGATATACTACGAGATTCAGGATCAACCGTAACCTCTCAACGGGAGACGAGAGCTATGGAATGGCTTCTTCAACCATCTCCCGACGGAGATCAAAACTTTCCTCGAAAAGCCGACTACTACATACCAAGAAGGAAGCCTTTGAGAAGGTCCGAGAATACCTCACGACCTGTCCGAGGGACTTCCTCTCCAGGCTTGTGCATTAGCCGAGCTGTCAACCCTTTAGTTTCCTCATGCTGATATCCTTACGCACATTCCTGATCCCACTCTCCGCGTCTCCCCCCCCTCAAGAATAGTCAACCAAGGGCATTCTCGGCATTCCCGCAGCACAAACCCGGAGGGTTCCTGGCGGGTGTTACCCGAATTTCTATTGAAAAAGAAGTCAAATAATAAAGTATTATCTATATATATAAAAACGTATGTCTGTCTGTTTGTATGTCCGGGGTACCCTATAGACTCGAAAACGGCCGAACCGATCGTCG